TGGCCTCCTTCTCCTCTTCTTGATCTACTCTTCTTTCTCCTCAAAATCTTCAAGAACATACCAAAACACTTCAATCTTTCAAGGAAATAAGGGTATAAATGATGCTGGGAGTTCTGGGGGTGAATGGGGACGAGTTTGGGGCGGAATGAGGGTTTAAATAGGGTGCAAACCCTTGAAATTTAGGGTTTCATCCAGCAGCGGTGACTCGCCGAGTCGCCAACTTAAACGTGTCCTGAGTCTCGTCCCTACTCGGCGAGTCGGACCTATGACTCGCCGAGTCCAAGGCTAAAATAGGGAAATACTCAAATAAAATTCACATACCGGAAACCAGGTGCTACAAATAATCACATAAGTATACTTATTGATAAATGATAAATCACATATGGTTAGAAACATAAATACATAAGGAAAACTTACTTATTTGTACGAAAGGTTACATCAACTGACATAACATCTCCGAATTCACTGTAGTATGCTTTATCCGTTTCAATGGCCCAAAACATTACATTTAAGACATTATTCTCATCACATCTATAAAAAACGAATAATTTGGTTATTTATTTTTCCGATCAGTCATCTTGTTTACAATAAGTTGAGCATCTCTGAAGCCAATAATAGAGCCCATATCCCTCTTGAAATTTCTGTAATCTACAGCCTTGTCCCTTACATACTGAAAACCACCTTTCAAAGTTGATTTGAGTTTGTAAGCTTTTGTAGCACCCATTTTTGCAGTAGAAGCCCAAACAACGAACTCCTTGTCAGAGTATGAAAGAGTCTTTGTACTTTTCAACTGAAATGTATCTTCAAGCTCGTGGTTGTGATTTTCATGAAACTTATCAAACCTATACTCACCCATTACTTTGACACGTTTCACAAGAATTTTGGCTTTACAATCTGTAACCTTGTAGATTGTATTATGTTCCATTGGATACAATTTTCGTTTACCCGTTCTATTACAAACCAAAACCCTATGCTTTATTATATCACCAACTTTCCTTAATGTGTTTAGACGAACATAGAAACGAGCCTTCTCTGTATATCTTTTATAAAAATTAACTCCCCCATCCACATCTTTGAACCTCATTGCCTTAGTAGGTTTAAACTCTTCAGGAACATCTGGTTTGATATCATGCAGAACCTATGGCATATAAAATCTGATACACAACTTGAACTCGTCCTCCTATTTGAATTTGCATCATTACAAGAAGTAGAATATTCACCTGTATGATCAAATATAGAAAACGATTTAATCATATATTATCATAAAAGAAATAATTGAATATACATAAATGAATGCAATATAATATCACATGTGATTAATAATAAAACTCCTTATATAATCATGTGTGATTAAAAGAAATAATTGAACATAGATAAACTAAACATATGTCAATATTTAGTCAAATATAAAAAAATGGATAATCAAATATAATTAACACTATATTAAACATAATTATTAAAAAAACTAATGAATAATCACATAAGATTAACAAAATAGATTAAATTAACACTAATGAATTACTTATAATCACATGTGATTATATAAGGAATTCATTATGAATCATATATGATCATATAAGGAATTCATTATCAATCACATGTGATTGTACATTACATACATTGATATATATTGAATTCTAAAATACATCAATAATTAAAAAAAACTTGCTTATATAATCATACAAATTTAAATAAGTATTTAAATTTTTTACCTGAAACACTAAAGTTTTGGATTTGATGACTTAAATGTTCAAAATCTTCATCCATGTAGTTTTGGATTTTGATGACTTGAATGTTCAAAATCTTCACTAACATATTCAATACTAATCTGATATTTATTTCTAAAGAAATTTACATTATTGCTTCTAAAAGACATTATTAAACAATAGAACCTATCATTAACAACATAAACAATTATTATTACAATAGATATTAATAATATATGATTTAAAAAACTATAACATAAAATGTAAATGTTCATAAGATTTATGATTATAACATATATCAATCATATGTGATTGATATATGTTCATATGATTGATATATGTTATAAACATATATGACTATATCATTTATGATTATAACATATATTAATCATATATGATTTAAAGAATTATATTATAGTTTATAACAGATATATGATCATAGGGTCACTTGAAGAACATGATTGTTAGCTCAATGAAGGGAGCTTTTGGAGGCCAAAAGTGAATCTTTAAAAGGAAATAACCAATTAAATTAACGACTTTCTACTTTTGCATTGATGCATATCCAACAACAACACAAAATGAGATGGTGTACATGTTGAAGGCTGAAGGAACTACTGGAAAAGATCCTAATCACATGTGATTGAAATAATACGATTATAAACAAATACTAATAACATGTTTTTTGTATGTTTTAGGTTTTTCTGCAAGTATAAATCACGATTATTTGCTTCATAATCAATAATACCGATTTAAACTACATAAATGCAGCTACAAGGGAAGAATCGGTGTTTCATGAACAATATATTAAACCTAACTCCTTTCAAAGTCAAAAATTTCGATTTATACTTCATAAATGCAGCCACAATGCAATAATCGACATTTAGTGATTAAAATAAGTTTTGCAAATTGACAATTTTTACTTTTTTGATGAACAATATCTTAAACCTAACTAATTTCGAACTAAAAACGTTAAAAAATAATTCAATGACTATAATAAATGAAATAAATACAAATACGAGTGTTTAATCATCGAAAAAAGATACACAAATAGAAGATTTTTTTACCTTTTGATACAAAGAACGATTAGACCTAACTTCTTCGTAGAATAGATGCAATTCTTTCTTCTATAAGAATCAAAGAACAAAACATAGACGATTTATGAAAAAAATCAGAGAAATAATTGAGATTTAGAAGAAATTCTGTAAAGATTGTAAAAACTCAATCAATGTATACTGTCGACCATAGATACGTCGAAAGACGGAAAGAAAATCAGATGAAATCTTGTTTACAAGAGAAAAGTTATAGAAAAATCCTTGAAAGAGGAACACACGTGTTTTACAACTCCTAAGCTAAAAAAATGTTCTCAAATATTCTCATTTTAGAAAATGTTCTCATATATATATATATATATATATATATATAATATATATATATATATATATATATATATATATATATATATATATATATATATATATATATGAGACCGTTCACTTGAAATAAAAAAAAATAGAGATCATGAGATTCAACCTCAGCTATATATTTCTCATTTGTCACTCTAACGTTCCAGTGTACCAGCAACAATTAGGTATACCTAATCATAAATGATTATACATATATACATAATCATAAATGATTATACATATATATGTCTGTTCGTAGATTGAGGTGGTGGGGAAGTTGACGAAGGTGAAAGGAGTAGGTGACACTACATAATCATTAGTGATTATAAAAGACCCATCGTGCCGGTACGCCGGAGGGTATATAACGGCTGATGTGAATTATGTAACTGATTTGAATCTCAAGATCTTTATTTTATTTTGAATCTCAACAGAATCTCTATTTTATTTAAGAACATTAGAATTTTTTTATACAAAATAAATTAAAAAATTACCAAAAGTGCGCTTACAAAATATCAAAGAGAATTGCAATCGAAAAAAAAGTTCTATATTCATATGTATATGTATATTTAAAAAAAAAAGTTGTTTGGTCTTTTTATTCATTGTTTTAGATACAACTTTTATGTATGGTTTTTTTGTTGTTTTTTGGTGGTATACATATATATGATCTACTGTATACATATGAAATTAAACCCTCCTACAAAAATAAATAAAAGTTTCTCAGTTTCTCTGCATCAGCTTTGGACAAAAAACGATTAGTCTAGTTGTATCGCCTCATAAACGTAAGTCTTTTATTTTTCTCTTTATATGTAGTTTGAAAAATTAAAAGACCAACTGAACCATATTTTAACCTTGGACGTGAACCAATAAGATATATGCATAACAACTGAACAATTGACTATACATGAGCCATACATGATCTTTCATTCATTTATTTGAAAAAGTGAAATATTCGATCCATTAATTGCCAAAAATATTTAAATATGAATAACATAATAAGCCTATATATGTGTCAACTCGAAGTTAGATTGTAGATTAAGAAGCTACAACTGTCTTCTATGTTGAAGACATATTACTTTTGACCATAACCACAAATTAAAGAACTAATCAATTTGATCTGCCACAACTATTGTGACTAGTGTTTTTCCTTTATAAAGAAGGGAATCACTTTTTACACTATGCTTAATCACTTGGTTAGGCCGTTGGGTAATCAATTCACTATTTGACTTGGACCTAGCTAATTCTAGAATGTCTTTTCTTTGTCCACTTTACAAGTGGTCTAAAATTAAGAATTGGATAATTTTACTTTGGACTCTTACTATACATATCGTTTGACGTTTTCGGTCACATATATCCGACTTTGGCTAAATTGGTAGAGTGCTTGTTCATCATATGTAGTTATTTTGTTTTTTTCTCATACATTAAATAGTGTTGACCTTTTACACTTTGCACAAATTGTTACTCTAAGTTACTTTACATGTGTATTAAAAGTGAACGATCTTAATTTGCACATGGTCGCCGCCATGCATCTTGCATCTCGGTCACCTAAAATAACATGGCTCATATAAGACCAAAACACACACAATGTATGTGTGAGAGATAAGGAGAGTTTTAATGTTCTTTCTACTACCGGCAATGGAGTCATCTTCAATTTGAAATGCATCCAAGTTAGCTGTAAACACGTTTTCCTTAAAAAAAAAATGAGAAGTGATTTAATAAAACTTGTACCTATCAATAAACAAAATTGCACTAAAGATCTAAATACGAAAGAAGGGTAGATTAAAAGTATGGATCTAAACAAACCGAATGTTCAATAAATTGTTCGGTGGGAAATTTCTTTATGTTCGTTTATTTAATTACTCCAAAAAAGCAGAGGTGAGGTCCGGAGAGTGGGATGGATCTACCTGGTCAAGGTGCCAATGTCAAGTGGTTATCCGAAGTGTTGGAATATGCTCTACCTATGGTACCTAACTACTCTTTCTTTTCGGTAAGAATACATTGACCGATGAAGGAGAACCCCTGATTGAAACGTATATTAATGCCTGAAAGTTGGATAGGATGGCTTTTACGTAAGGATTATATTGCTCCCAATTTTTATGAAATACAAGATGCTCATTGAATGATAAAAAACGAATATTCAATTATACAATTCTATAAATTCCAGGTTCAATTCTAGATTAAACAGAATAAATGAAGTCTTGTTTATGGTTTTTATTTTTATTATGTATAGAATAAAAAAATACAATAAAATAAAATTAGGAATTAATCGGGATTCTCAAATTTGTAAAATACTTATTTGGGATGAACCAAATCGATAGGAGGAACCAAACTAATTATTGAGCATCAACTTTGGACTGCACACATCACTTAAAAGGGGAATCTATAAAGTCATGTAATCCATAAATAACTTAGTGCAACATGGAAAATTTCATTGAGAGGAAGGGTCAACATCTTAATGTGTATTTGAGAGATTATCCTTGGGAATAAACGAATCTGAATATAAATTCTCGTTCGTTTAGTTAATTGAACGAATATAAACAATAATTTTTTTTTTGTTTAATTATGTTTGTGAACGTTGGTTTATGTTTATTCATTTAAGTTCATTTTATGTTCATATGTATTCAGTTATGTTTGATTATGTTGCTATATTTTATTTTTGTTTATGTTCATATATGTGTGATTATATTATTATAATTTATGTTTATTTATGTTTATATATGTTCAATTAAGTTTGTTTATCTCCGTTCGCGTTTTGCATGTCTACGAATATAAACGAACGACAATAAACAATGTAAGTTGTTGAACGAACAAACATCAACAAAAAAAACTTGTTTGTTTATTCGATTGTTTTCGTTCGTTTGTTAGGTTAACTTAAACGAATAAATATGAATAACCTTAGTTCGTGTTCGTCTTCGTTAAGTTCGTTTACAACCCTAATTACAAGGAAAATTTATTTCATTATAATACAATTCTAATATTTCAACAAAAGATCTATATATAAGTTTGATAAAGTTATCCCTTCAGGTCTTATTATAGGTCAAGCATGTTTAATCACAACATTTTCATGAGCGATGATTTTTAATACAACCTGTCTTAAAAATTAATAACGATATTGAAGTTTTCAAGTTCGTCATCTACTTTAAAACAAAACAAAGAAAGATAGAAAATCTTAAAAAACAAAACACTGTTATATATATATATATATATATATATATATATATATATATATATATATATATATATATATATATATATATATATATATATATATATATATATATATATATATATATATATATATATGCAGATGCTGTTTCCAAGAAAGCTTAATAGCTATAATCGATGATATGTCACAGTTAATATAGTTAATTATGAACTCAAAGGATCTACTGTGATCACTGATTAGTAATACAAATAGTAAGATAAATTTTGACAACAAGTTCAAAACACAAGGGTTAAAGCTGCATTTTTACAAAAACTATCGTCGTTCACGTAGAGCCTTGCATCGTTGGGTATAAATAATCGCTAAAGGTTAGGGTTTTTCCAAAAACCAGCTATATCGGCAAGAAAATGGCAAGAAAGAAAGTTGTGTCTAGAAGAGAGGAGTCGCCATTGGATTCGACTAATTCAGTGAACAATGTTAGGATACTCGTCATCTATGGAGAGTGTCAGCGAAACCTCGCTGTCCATGATGGCGGGTACGCTCTCGATGGTTGTCGGGAGTTTATGGCAAGCCAGGCGGAGGGGACAGACGGTGCACTGATATGTGCCGCTTGCGGCTGCCACCGCAACTTCCATAGGAGGATCGTGGAATCGGAGGTTGTTTGACTGTTTGTCACCTAAACTATCAGAATGAGTTCCATATATGCGTGAGTGATATTCAAGAACTGATCTACATATTCAAGAACTGATCTACTTTCAACCGGTGTGCTCTATATCTGCGTGTTTGTAAATGGATGTTGTGATGATCATATTCATATGTGAATTAGGGTTTGACCTTTTTTTTTTGTTTGTCATTATCCTTCGATCATGGTTTTTTCTGGGTTGTGATATCATGTGACCTTAATATGACCCTGGGTGTTTTATGTTTATAATATGTTTGTGTAATTCTTATATATGGTTTTTTATGGACAAGATTACATGGCTGAGAAACAATATATATACTTGATTAAATGCAATTTAAAGAGACGATATTATTAAAAGGATTGAATTATCTGTCGTGAATTGATATAAATTTTCTGCAGTTTTCAGAATGAAAATCCTTTTTCTTCCTAGTCATAGAACTTAACAAGATTTTTATTTCTGCCCAATTATCCATATATATGGCATATATGATACATGTTTTGTTTTTAATTGGCAATATATATATATATATATATATATATATATATATATATATATATATATATATATATATATATATATATATATATATATATATATATATATATAGATTCAAGATCAAATAAGAAGGAAATTTTTGATAGGAAGGTAAAAAGTTTTTTCTCTACATATTTTTTTCGCGAACAAACAAAATGAATCATTAGATGATTCATTTGTAAGATGATTCACAAGAAATTTTTTTCGAAAAAAACATCTCAATGATTCATTTATACAATGATTTTGTTGTTATTCACTAAAATAATCATAAAAATGAATTTTTTCTTAATTTACTTAAAAATAAATCATAAAGATGTATTTTTGGGAATTTTTTCTTGTGAATCATCTTACAAATGAATCATCTAATGATTCATTTATTTTGTTCGTCAAAAAAATATGTAGAAAAAAAACTTCTTACCTTCTTACCAAAAAAAAAAATCTTACCGGATCTATATATATATATATATATATATATATATATATATATATATATATATATATATATATAAATTGGTTTTTAAAATAGTTAAAACAGCTGTTTACGAGTTGATTTGATCATAATGTCCAATGAACCCCTTAGTTAGGATGTCAAGGCTCCAGAATTATCAACTAGCATCCTCTAATTGTATCTTTAATTACTTTAACTGAATGAACATTACAATTAACAGTAGTTCTGGATTTCGTATGTATTTATATACTATCAACTTTTGAAATCTTGCGGTTGAAATTTATTTGAACAATGTGCCCGTGATCAAAAGCACACATTAACGTTACATATGGACCCTCATACATCTAATCATGCTGGTTGTTACCTCTAATCTCATGTACCTAAAGGTCACTAAACCAAAAGCATTCCTGCTGGATTGATTACCTTTGTTTTCTTTTAAACTTTTGAACGCCCATAACAACTAGACTTGACAGGGATTAAAGATGTCTTTTCTGTTAATGTCTGGTTGATTATCCAATTACCATTTCAAATAAATCAAATTTAACACTGAATAGGCAAAGAGAACTTCTAGGTTGGATGAATGTAAATAAATAGAGCAAGAAATGGGAGGAACTTAAAATAGAACCAATGCAGCTTATACTAAGGCTAGGGTTCATATTGTTGGATATATGTCAAAACTCAGGAATCAACTTATATTAAAATTATATAAATAGGGGGAACAAACTTTATGATATCCTCATATCCTTGAATATGAATTTGGTATCTGTCACTTCTAAATGGCTATATATGGGCATATAGCATCTAACGATTCATGTATTCGAGCTTTAAGTAATATGGAAATTGAACTTTATTTGACATCCGATCTAGACATTTCAAAAGATTGATTGTTTATATGGTTTTGTGTGTTTTTAATCATATAACAGTCTGTATGAGTAGCTAGATTGGGCGGAGGATTACTATTTTTAAAAAGTGAAGGAAAGACACGAGTATGTTTTTTAAATTTTACTTTACAAATTAATTTCTGATTTTTGTTTCCAGAAACAATTTATATTATTATGGTGATATTAAATAACTGAAAAGATAAATCACTTTTAAGTATAATGCTCGTGCAAAGTTTACAAGGTTATAAACTATATATGGATTTCCTTGTCTCTTTTTCTTTCGAGGAAATGGATGATATACGTTGTTATGATACTTTGTCGGTTTTTCTTTTCCAAATATTGGATTGTTGTTTGTGGTTTCATAAATTCCAAATTACCTAACATCCAAGAAATAAACCATGTTAAGTAAGAGATTGTCATTCGAAAATATTTAAAAAAAAAACTCAATTATGATTTAGTTTAAGGATGACATTATAATAATATGACAATTAATTACTAACATGAGATTAACATTAGAGTTTACATAAGGGCAAAGGACAATAAGTTGCTTTGCTAACCCTTTTGAATGACAAAGCTAATCATTTTAAAAACTACGAATATTTATAATAACAAATTGTGCATGACTTGTATAGTTTCTGGTGCAAGGAACCAAATATATTAGACTCGAATGATATAAACACACATTGATATTCCATTCACATTTTCTGAGTTTTTGCACTTTGCATGATACTTTTTTTTTAAAGTTGTTTGCCTCACAAGAAAACACTCATTCCTCAGACCTACAAGAGAGGAAACCCCTTTTAGATCCAAACAAAAGTATTTTCCTCTCATTCATCCAACTTCATATCAATGACATGGATGGTAAACACATAACAAACTAGTTTAAATAGTTGAGTTCAACATAAAGGAATTTTAATCAAAATACTAATAACGTTCTACTTCAACCACTTTGTAGGTTATTTCTTACTAGGGTCCAAGTTCACCTTAGTACTCAATAGTAGAATAATCACCTTCAACATCAGATTTCGCAAATCAATTCTATCGCTAAAAAATTAAACGTTAACGACGGGAAGCAACTTAATTCAAATTTATCATTAATAATTTGGATCTCTTTTGTCTCCAAATCAGTCACTTGCTACCAGAATTGACCTATTTCCAACATCAAAATCCTTCGGTACACTACTACGAAACTAAGATTTCCAAAGCATCCACTTTTATCAAGTGAGTGCATAGCTACTTTCATTTTACACATAGACATGAAATATCTAAATAATTAAATGATATATGTGCCTATGTGCAAAGATCTTATGTGCTAGATGAAGTATTATATGATTTATATCGTATATGTCTTTTTTATGAATATAATACATTGGGTAACGAAGGGTAATGAAAGATGCTATAGTATGAGGAAAGATAAAATGCCTTAGTACAATGATAGATGTAGAAAAGGTACTAGTATGCCAATGGTGTAGAAATGGCACTAGTGTGCCAACGATGTAAGAATGGTACTAGCATACCAATGATGTAGTTACTTAACATAGTATAGGTAACGACTACTAGATTACTTGATGACCGTCCCGTGGAGCATTAGCAGCGATGGACTTTGTGCCTCTTTGATATACTCTAACCCATTGACATGTATTTCATAGAAATCCCTATAACAGTATTGTCAACCACGATGACTATGACGACCCTTAGGATAGATCCTCATGGAAGAATAAATAAGAAAATGGGGTGGATAATTGGGTTAATTGTTTGATAATTAAACATATTAACTATACTATTATGGGTTGAAAACCTTATATATTCACCAGGTTTCCCAATCTGACCCAATCAGTTTATTTGAATAATTGGTTATTAAATAAAGATACTTAAATAACTATGTATGTATCTAGTGAGAGATTCAAGGAGATGTAGAACGTTAGTATAGTGAGACATTGTAAGTCTCCGTTTATGTTTATGTTTTTTGTATCAGTTATGACATCCTAGACTTTTAAAATATAAAATATTCCGAAAGGCCTTGATTTTGATATTATATCATGTTAAGGATATATTGGGACAAATTCCACAATAAAGAATGTTTTAAATAAGCATAAACAAAAAAGTTTTAAAATGACCGTAAATGGGGATGTCACAGTTGATATCAGAGCATTTGTTTAAGTGAACTAGAATTTAGAGGATTTCTATACTTAAACTTAGAATGTTAAGCGATGACCATAAGATAAGTGTCTATTATATTTTAGGTAATACACCTGAAATAACACAAACACTAGTTCACCATTAGGAGAAGATGCCTAATTTGCTTTTACGTGCTAAAATGGTTTGTACTATAACATGTCTTAGGTTCCTATATAAATTGATGCTATTAGGTTTAAGGTCTATTGACGACCTAGGTTAGGAAATTTTATGTGTTTAGGTTTCTAAACCTTTAATTACGATATTGGAACTGACATATAACTTTTCAAAGTGATAAAGGAAAACTATACATCTGAACCTTCCTTATCTATATTATCGTCTCAATACATTGAACACCCGCTTTAATGTACAAAATGTCATGGTAAGGACACAAAGCGGATTAAGAAACAGTGATGGAAACCAACAGCTCGAGCAATGATGGGTCGTGCAATGTTCATCGTACCAGCACCTGAATCTATCACACACTACTAGAAAAATACCCTTTAATGACACTCATTGCATGTAATAAAAGGGTACAGATGACACGCAAATGCGTGTCAATGAAGGCCATTTCATAAAGGAAGATGACACACATTTGCATTTCGTAACCTTACGACGCGTATTTACGACACTCAATGTGTATCATTAAACTCCCTGTCAAGAAAGGCCATGTCATAAATGAAGATGACACACATTATTGCGTATCGTAAATTTAATTGTTTTAAAAAAAAATATTTATAGATTTACTAATTTTCAAATTAAATTTGCATTAATGTTTCATAATAGAAAATAGGATGCCATATACAAAAAATACAATCCATTGCACAAAATTTAATGTTATACAAATCTATTTCTTACAATAAATGTACCAACATCACTTATCTAATCTACTTTATGTTTCATACAAAAAATCTATTTCATACAATAAATGTATCATCAAAATA